CCCCTCCTTTCCACCCCCCTCTCCTTTCCTCTCCACAGGGCACTTACTTCTCCAGCCCCCCCCCACCCCCCATCCCATCCTGCCTCTCTCTAGGTCCCAGAATAAATATCTCTTTGGGGCTAACACACAGCCCCTATTGTGTCTACCAAGGGTGGGATGGGGGCAGAGCCTGGGGCCACCGTCCAGCCCACAATGAAGCAATTCTGTCCAGCAGGAGGGGGCTGCCCCACCCTGTCCCCAGACTCCTCTGGCTCAGCAGCACCCCTTGCCACCCTCAAGCCCTGGGTTCAGACGGGTGACTTCAGTGGGGAGGGGGGCACAGGGGCATGCTGGTGAGGGGTCAATGGGAGCTTTGTCTTTGAAGCTGGAAGATAAGGAGCTAGTTTCCTACACCCTCACCCCCAACCTCTTCCTCAACAGCTCCCTGCCCCTCCCGGACCCTCTGCAGCACCCAGTCCTACGCCCTTTTAGCAAAAGCAGAGGAGCCTAGGCCTCGGTCACAGAAATCCACTTGACAGAAACTTCCCTGACAGACGGGTTCATGGACCCGCCTCTGGACAAGGCAAGCCAGCCTCCCACCAAGTAGGGAGAGTCGAGGTTAGAGGTACAAGAGCCATATTCCTTTGGGGGGTTTCCTTTGCCCTGTACCTATGGAAGACTAAGGGGCTCCAGCACATCGGGAACCCTGAAGCCCTACTCCTGGCTCTTTCATCTGACTGCACAGAAGAGAGAGAGGGAGATAGGGGGAGAGAGAGAGAGAGAGAGAGAGGCAGAGGCTCAGAAACCACCTGTTCCAACCACCCTTCCCTGAGGCAGTGTCAGCTCCCAGTGAGGCACAACTGAGAATGGAGGAAGACTGGTGAGGTCCCAGCCCCTCCTCCAAAATCCACCCCAATTTCTGACCAAAGGACCCCTCAGGGCTTCCCCTAGCTTATCTCTCCTTATTGTGGGTGGGGGACTCAGCCAAGAAGGGTAAACAGGCCAGGAACCCCCAGAAGAGTCTGGGAACCTCAGGGTCCTTGATCTGAAATAAGAGACTGGGAAGGTTAGTCATTACTGGAACAGCCCCACCCCAAACCCCTTCCTGGCAAGACACCCCTGCTTTCAAGCCTAGGTGCCTCTCCTTCTCCCCAGTTAAGGGAGGAGCCAAGATCTCCACATAGGAAATGGTAGGTTACGTGTGTGTACACACGCTCGCCCTCACGCAAATGCAACTATATTCATAACCTCCCCGCTGTCCCAGAAATCTACACCCCTTCTGCCCTAGGGTTTCCTCACTGGGAACTGCTCCAGGTGCCCCATCCACCTGGGGAGGGAGAGAGAGGGAGAGAGAGAGAGAGAGAGAGAGGGAGAGAGAGAGAGAGAGAGAGAGAGAGAGAGAGAGAGAGAGAATGCCGCAC